TCCTCGGGCCTCAGCGCAGACTGTGGCCTGCGGGTGGCACCGGACTCCCCGCCCGCCGGGTCCTCTGCCCAGCTGCCCCCTCGTGCTGGGAGTGAGATCCAGCCTGGATCCAGCTCCTCCTCTCCCTGGGATGCCCCGAGTCCCCCTCTAAGGTACCCTGTCCCCTGTACCCTGTCCCCAAGTGAGCGAGAGCTGGAAGCAGGGTGGGGTGGGCTGCCGGGGCAGGCGGAGGCAGCCCCAAAGCTGCGCCAGCAGAACCCCTTGCCCACGATACCAAACCAGACTCCGCGCAGTGCCTCACGGTCTGCTGCCGCGGCTTTGGGCCCCTCCCCACCCGGTGTCCCCTAGCCCAGCCCGTGGGCCGGGAAGGAGGGCAGGCCGGAGAGGGGGACGCCTCCCACCACCTCGACCCCGGCCCCCCTCCCACCCCACCTGCGGGCTGGGCAGGGCCCCTCCAGCAGGAGCCCCAAAGCCCACTCCCCAAATGCATGCGAGCCCCCTTCTCCCACCCTGAGCCCAGCCAGAAGCCAAAGCCCCTCCAAGAGCAGGGGGCCCAGCCCACCCCTGTTCCCTGCCTGCCCCTCACCTGGCCAAGAGCACGCTGGGGGACAGGACAGGAGCAGGGAGAGGGTCAGTTCCCTCTGGGCCCTTCCCCTCCTCCGTCTCCCCCCCACTCCGTCTCTCTGTCTCTCCTTTTCTCTCCCCGTCTCTGTCTCTGCCTCTCTCCCTCCCTCTCTCTCTCCTTCTCTCTCCCCGTCTCTCTCTCCCCGTCTCTCTCTGTCCCTCTGTCTGTCCCTCTCTGTCTCTCTCCTTCTCTCTCCCTCTCTCTCTCTCCCCGTCTCTCTCTGTCCCTCTCCCCGTCTCTCTCTGTCTCTCCCTCTCTCTCCACCGCCCCCCGCTCTCTCTCTGTCCCCCTCCTTTGTCCCCTGTAGTTTTGGCTGGGGATTCTGGGGACCCTGTCCCTCTTGTTTCCTGGAGGTTGTTTGAGTTTTCGGGTTGGTTTTGGATCTGCTCACAGCAGGACAGTAGTCTGTCCCTTGCTTTCTGCTTGTGGCACACCCGAGGACACGCGCACACCCCTGCTTGGAACCACGCGGACGCTTCTGGCCAGCCTGTGGCCACTGCCGCCCAGTCCCTCCCCGGCAGGCGAGCGAGGGGACAGAGCGCCCCGCGGGCTGGCTCGTGCCCCGCCGTGGCCTGGTACCGGTTCTGGTTTGCGGACGCGCTGCCGAGTCCCGTTTGCGGGAGGTGACTCTGGCTGTTGTTACTCTGTTGTTTCCCTATGCAAAAAAAAGAAAATGGGGGGCCATAAAGGTTCAATAAAAGGCAAAAAAAAAGAAAAATGTATAAAGATTAAACAAGCTCTGCTTCCACTCCGGCTGCCTGGAGCCTCTTTCCGCGCCCAGCGGGGCTGGCCTGGGCCTGTGGCCTGTGGCACCGTGAGGGGGAGTGGCTCAAGTGTTCCCCAGGGCAGGAGGTCTGGGGCACTGGTGACTGTCACACCTGGGGTGTCCTGGTCCAGACGGTGGAGGCAGGAACACTGCTCAGCACCCTGCAGGGCCCATGATGCCACCAGAGAGTGGCCTGGCCCTGTGTCCCCAGCACCCACGGAGCGCTGCCCTGGCAGTGGCCAGTGAGCCTTCCTGCAGCGGCTCCTCTCTGGGCCCCGCTCAGCCTCTTCCAAGCCAGGAGCAAGGGAGTGCAGAGGCCAGGGGGGGCCTCGCACGAGGAAGCAGCGTGGACAGCCCCTGGCAGAGGCCACAGGCAAGGGCCCCGGGCAGGACGGCCTGGCGGGCTGTGGCACAGGGAGAGCCCGCGGGCTGCGGCGGAGAGTGAGGAGGAGGAGGGAGGCAGGGAGGACCTGGGCTTTGACCAGAGGGAGGTGGGAGCCATGGGCTGTGGACAGAGGAGGGGCCTGGCTCGGTTCCACCACTTCCACCTCCAGGGAGGTGTCCCGTCCGCCCGCAGACCCCTGGCCGCATTGCAGCCACCCCTGCCCAGTAGCCCTCCCGAGGCCTGGCCCCCCAGGTCGGCCATGTCTGTGTGCCCGGCCTTCCAGTCTGGCACCCCTCAAGGCTGGGGCCAGGGGGGTGGGGGGCCACGGAGCCCAGGAGCACCCAGGTGTGGGGGCCACACGTTTCCTGGGGGCCTGGGTGCTGTACCCCGCCCCTGTCCCAAGCACTCCAGGACCCCACGGAGCCCAGGGTGGGTGAGCCAAGCCCCCCTGCTGCCCAGGGCTCCTTCCTTCCTTCCCAGTGGCGAGGGGGGACCATGTCCTTCCTACAGAGGCAGCTGGGCACAGCAGGCCGGCGAGGCGTGGAGGCCCGTGCACGGGTCCACCTGGCCCTCGGCTCACAGCCCTGTTCCTCCTCCAGCTGCCCTGGCTGCCTCCCGAGCCTCCTCTTCCGCCCTTCCCACTGCCAGAGGAGGAGGACCCAGGGAACAGGCGGCAGGGAGGGGCCGGCCTCGGCAGGCTCCGCGGGGCCTGGGCACGCTGCGCCCCAGGGCCCTCTCCCCCCAGGGGAGGTGGGAGCCCAGGCCTGAGCTGCAGGAGCCAGGCCTCCGCGTCCTCCTGCTGGGCTTCCTGAGCTCAGGATGGTGTGGGCACGTGGGCAGCCGGGCCCTGAGGGGATGGGGGACAGGGGATGGGCGGGAGTGGGGGGTGGGGGGTTGGGTGGCGGGAGTGGGGGGTGGGGGGTTGGGTGGTGGATAGGGGGGTTGAGGGGTGGATGGGGGGTGGATGGGGGGCAGTGGAGGATGCAGGGTGGCTACAGGGTTGCACAGGAGGAGGAAGGAGGAAGGGAGAGGTCTCGGGGATGGGGGTGGACAACCAGGATGAGTGGCTGGGGCGGGTGGTAAAAATGCTACTGTCCTGTTTGAGTCCCATATTAGGACAGGTGGCCGGAGGGCCTTTGTGAGGCGCTGTGAAGCCCTGTGGCGGCCTGTGCTCCTCCAGCTGCCCAACTGCCTCCCTATAGGCGAGGGCTCTGGGAGGTGGGGCCCCAGCTGTGGTGGCCACATGCACTAAGTGGGTGACCCCCAGATGAGCAGGCAGAGGCCAAGATGGCCCCAGGCCCAGCAGCCACTGCAGGCAGGAGCAGGCCGGCAGCGCAGGCATCCGGGTGGGACCCACACCCCTCCCACCCCTCCCTCCTGCTGAGGCCTCACAGACGTCCCCCGCAGCTTGAGGACCCAGATGAGCAGGGAGCATCAGCTGAGGCCGTGCAGGACCAGCCAGGGCCCAGCAGGCTGCAGGTGCAGCTGGGCAGGAGGAGGACCCCAGGGCAGGGTGGGGCTGGTGTCCCTGGAGGTGGAGGGAGCACCCTAGGGAGGGGCTGGAGGGGCCCAAGCAACCCAGCACCCGGGCTCCCTGAGGTCGCCCGATCCCCACTCCCCAGGGCAGCAGAGGTGGGTCCTGATTCCTGGGCAGCAGGCCTTTCGATGGCTCCTTCAACCTTGTGACCTCTTTCAGGTCCCACAGAGCTTCCAGACTGGGGTGATCAGAACTCCCTCCCGTCTCCCATGTTGTAGAACAGGAGCCAACTACAGGTTCAGAGAGGCTGGGCCACCTCCCTAGGGCTGCGCAGCACTCCAGTGGAACAGAAAAGGACGCCCACTCACAGCTCTGTCCTTAGAGGAGAACCTCTGGGCTTGACCTTGGGGAACCTGCAGCCACCCGCATCCCAGGGGCAGCCAGGGCTCCAGCTCTGCCACCACCAGAGGGAGGCCTGTCCTGGGAACTCCCGTCTTCCTTCAGCATTTGGCTGCAGAAAAGCAGGAGGCTCCTGGCACCAAGGAGCACTGCTGGGCCCACGTCAGTCATCCTGGGGTCCTCTGCCCCCTGGCGGGCCATCCTGGGGGTGTCCCAGACAGAAGTGGAGCCACCTGGCTGAACAGGCATGTGTACCCACAACCCCACCCAGAGCGGCATCTCAAACGCTGGCCTTTACCAAGCTCCTCACAAGGAACAGCTGAAGCCACCAGGCATGGCTGTCACCCAACCACTTGGGATCTGAGCAGGAGGGTCACAATTTCCAGGCCAGCCTGGGCAACTTATTGAGGCCTGTCTCAGAATAAAAGGATTGGCTGGCGATGTGGCTTCAGGTAGAGCTTTGCCTACACTCTGCCAGGCCCTGGGTTCCATCCCCTGGCCAGAGAAGAAAGAGGACAGGAGGAGGAGGAGGAGGAGGGGGAGAAGGGGGAGGAGGAGGAGGAGGAGGAGAGGAAGGAGGAGGAGGAAGAGGAGGAGAAGAAGGAGGAGGAGGAAGAGGAGGAGGAGGGGGAGAAGGGGGAGGAGGAGGGGGAGGAGGAGGAGGAGGAGGGGGAGGAGGAGGGGGAGGAGGAGGGGGAGGAGGAGGGGGAGGAGGAGGGGGAGGAGGAGGAGAAGCAGGAGAGGAAGGAGGAGGAGGAAGAGGAGGAGGAAGAGGAGGAGAAGAAGCAGGAGGAAGAGGAGGAGGAGGGGGAGGAGGAGGGGGAGGAGGAGGAGAAGCAGGAGAGGAAGGAGGAGGAGGAAGAGGAGGAGGAAGAGGAGGAGGAGGGGGAGGAGGAGGAGGAGGAGAAGAGGAGGAGGAGGGGGAGAAGGAGGAGGAGGAGGAGGAGGAGGAGAAGAAGGAGGAGGAGGAAGAGGAGGAGGAGGGGGAGGAGGAGAAGAAGGAGGAGGAGGAAGAGGAGGAGGAAGAGGGGGAGGAGGGGGAGGAGGAGGGGAGGAGGAGGAGAAGCAGGAGAGGAAGGAGGAGGAGGAGGAAGAGGAGGAGGAGGGGGAGGAGGAGGAGAAGCAGGAGAGGAAGGAGGAGGAGGAAGAGGGGGAGGAGGAGGAAGAGGAGGAGGAGGGGGAGGAGGAGGGGAGGAGGAGGAGAAGCAGGAGAGGAAGGAAGAGGAGGAGGATGGGGAGGAGGGGGAGGAGGAGGAGAAGCAGGAGAGGAAGGAGGAGGAGGAGGAGGAGAAGAAGAAGAAGGAGGAGGAAGAGGAGGAGGGGGAGGAGGAGGAGGAGGAGGAGGAGAAGGAAGAGGAGCAGGAGGAGGAAGAGGAAGATGAGCAGGAGGTAGAGGAAGAGGAGGAGGAAAAGGAGGAGGAGGAGGAGGAGGAGGAGGAGGAGGAGGAGGAGGAAGAGAAGGAGGAAGAGGAAGGGGAGGTAGAGCAGGAGGCAGAGGAGGAGGAGGAGGGGGAGCAGGAGGAGAGGAAGGAGGAGGAGGAAGAGGAGGAGAAGAAGGAGGAGGAGGAAGAGGAGGAGGAGGGGGAGAAGGGGGAGGAGGAGGGGGAGGGGGAGGAGGAGGAGGAGGAGGAGGAGGGGGAGGGGGAGGGGGAGCAGGAGGAGGAGGGGGAGGGGGAGGAGGAGGAGAAGCAGGAGAGGAAGGAGGAGGAGGAAGAGGAGGAGGAAGAGGAGGAGAAGAAGCAGGAGGAAGAGGAGGAGGAGGGGGAGGAGGAGGGGGAGGAGGAGGAGAAGCAGGAGAGGAAGGAGGAGGAGGAGGAGGAGGAGGAGGAGGAGGAGGAGGGGGAGGAGGAGGAGGAGGAGGAGGAGGAGGAGGAGGAGGGGGAGAAGGAGGAGGAGGAGGAGGAGGAGGAGAAGAAGGAGGAGGAGGAAGAGGAGGAGGAGGGGGAGGAGGAGAAGAAGAAGGAGGAGGAGGAAGAGGAGGAGGAAGAGGGGGAGGAGGGGGAGGAGGAGGGGAGGAGGAGGAGGAGCAGGAGAGGAAGGAGGAGGAGGAGGAAGAGGAGGAGGATGGGGAGGAGGAGGAGAAGAGGAGAGGAAGGAGGAGGAGGAAGAGGGGGAGGAGGAGGAAGAGGGGGAGGAGGAGGGGAGGAGGAGGAGAAGCAGGAGAGGAAGGAGGAGGAGGAGGAAGAGGAGGAGGAAGGGGAGGAGGGGGAGGAGGAGGAGGAGCAGGAGAGGAAGGAGGAGGAGGAGGAGGAGAGAGAAGGAGGAGGAGGAAGAGGAGGAGGGGGAGGAGGAGGAGGAGGAGGAGGAGAAGGAAGAGGAGCAGGAGGAGGAAGAGGAAGAGGAGGAGGAGGGAGAGGAAGAGGAGGAGGAAGAGGAGGAGGAGGAGGAGGAGGAGGAGGAGGAGGAGGAGGAGGAAGAGAAGGAGGAAGAGGAAGGGGAGGTAGAGCAGGAGGCAGAGGAGGAGGAGGAGGGGGAGCAGGAGGAGGAGGAGGAGCAGGAGATAGAGGAGTAGGAGGAGGAGGAGGAGGAGGAGGTGGAGGAGCAGGAGAGGAGGAGGAGGAGGAGCAGGAGATAGAGGAGTAGTAGTAGGAGGAGGAGGAGGAGCAGGAGGAGGAGGAGGAGCAGGAGAGGAGGAGGAGGTGGAGGAGGAGGAGAGGAGAAGAGGAGAGGAGAGGAGGAGGAGGAGGAGAGGAGGAGGAGGGGAGGAGGAGGAGGAGAGGAGGAGGAGGAGGAGGAGGGGAGGAGGAGGAGGAGAGGAGAGAGAGGAGGAGGAGAGGAGGAGGAGGAGGAGGAGGAGAGGAGGAGGAGGAGGAGAGGAGAGAGAGGAGAGTAGAGAGAGGAGGAGGAGGAGGAGGAGGAGGAGAGGAGGAGGAGGGGAGGAGGAGGAGAGAGGAGAGGAGGAGGAGGGGAGGAGGAGGAGGAGGAGGGGAGGAGGAGGAGGAGGAGGAGAGGAGGAGGAGAGAGGAGAGGAGAAGAGAGGAGAGGAGGAGGAGGAGGAGAGGAGAGGAGGAGGAGGAGGAGGAGGAGAGGGAGAGAGAGGAGAGAGGAGGAGGAGGAGAGGAGGAGGAGGGGAGGAGGAGGAGGAGGAGGAGAGAGGAGAGGAGAGGAGGAGGAGGGGAGGAGGAGGAGAGGAGGAGGAGGAGAGAGGAGGAAGAGGAGGGGAGGAGAGAGGAGGAGAGGAGGAGGAGGAGGGGGAGAGGAGGAGGAGGAGGAGAGGAGAGGAGGAGGAGGAGGAGGAGGAGAGGAGAGAGAGGAGAGAGGAGGAGGAGAGGAGGAGGAGGAGGAGGAGGAGAGGAGAGAGAGGAGAGAGAGTAGGAGGAGAAGGAGAGGAGAGGAGGAGGAGGAGGAGGAGGAGAGGAGAAGAGGAGAGTAGGGAGGAGGAGGGGAGGAGGAGGGGAGGAGGAGGAGGAGGAGAGGAGAGGAGGAGGAGGAGGAGAGGGAGAGAGGAGGAGAGAGGAGGAGGAGGAGGAGAGGAGGAGGAGGGGAGGAGGAGGAGGAGAGGAGGGGAGGAGGAGGAGAGGAGAGAGAGGAGAGAGGAGGAGAGAGGAGGGGAGAGGAGGAGGAGGAGGAGGAGGGGAGGAGGAGGAGAGGAGAGAGAGGAGAGAGGAGGAGGAGGAGGGGAGAGGAGGAGGAGGAGGAGGAGGGGAGGAGGAGGAGGAGGAGAGGAGGAGGAGAGAGGAGGAGGAGGAAGAGGAGGAGGAGAGAGGAGGAGGAGGGGGAGGAGGGAGAGAGAGGAGGAGGAGGAAGAGGAGGAGGAGAGGGGAGGAGGGGGAGGAGGAGGGGAGGAGGAGGAGAGAGGAGAGGAAGGAGGAGGAGGAGGAGGAGAGGAGGAGGAGAGGGAGGAGGGGAGGAGGAGGAGAGAGAGGAGAGGAAGGAGGAGGAGGAAGAGGGGGAGGAGAGGAGAGGGGAGGAGAGAGGAGGAGAGGAGGAGGAGGAGGGGGAGAGGAGGAGGAGAGGAGGAGGAGGAGGAGAGGAGAGAGAGGAGAGGAGGAGGAGAGGAGGAGGAGGGGAGGAGGAGAGGAGGAGGAGGAGGAGGAGGAGGAGAGGAGATAGAGGAGAGAGGAGGAGGAGGAGGAGGAGAGGAGAGGAGGAGGAGAGGGAGGAGGAGGAGGAGAGGAGAGAGAGGAGAGAGGAGGAGGAGGGGAGGAGAGGAGGAGGAGGGGAGGAGGAGGAGGAGGAGAGGAGGAGGAGGAGGAGGAGGGGAGGAGGAGGAGGAGAGGAGAGAGAGGAGGAGGAGGAGGGGAGGAGGAGGAGGAGGAGGGGAGGAGGAGGAGAGGAGGAGGAGGAGGAGAGGAGAGAGAGAGAGGAGGAGGAGGAGGAGAGGAGAGGAGGAGGAGGAGAGGAGAGAGAGGAGAGAGGAGGAGGAGGAGAGGAGGAGGAGGGGAGGAGGAGGAGGAGGAGGAGGAGAGAGGAGAGGAGGAGGAGGGGAGGAGGAGGAGAGGAGGAGGAGGAGAAGGAGGAGAGAGGAGGGGAGGAGAGAGGAGGAGAGGAGGAGGAGGAGGGGGAGAGGAGGAGGGAGGAGGAGAGGAGAGGAGGAGGAGGAGGAGGAGGAGAGGAGAGAGAGGAGGAGAGGAGGAGGAGAGGAGGAGGAGGGGAGGAGAGGAGGAGGAGGAGAGGAGAGAGAGGAGGAGGAGGAGAGGAGGAGGAGGAGAGGAGAGGAGGAGGAGGAGGAGGAGGAGAGGAGAGAGGAGAGGAGGAGGAGAGGGAGGAGGAGGAGGAGGAGAGGAGAGGAGGAGGAGGAGAGAGGAGGAGAGAGGAGGGAGAGGAGGAGGAGGAGGAGGAGGGGGAGGAGGAGGGGGAGGAGGAGGAGGAGGAGGAGGAGGAGGAGGAGGAGGAGCAGGAGATAGAGGAGTAGTAGGAGGAGGAGGAGGGGGAGCAGGAGGAGGAGGAGGAGGAGGAGGAGGAGGAGCAGGAGATAGAGGAGGAGGAGGAGGAGGAGGGGAGAGAGGAGGAGGAGGAGGAGAGGAGAGGAGGAGGAGGGGAGGAGGAGGAGGGAGGAGGAGGAGAGGAGAGAGAGGAGGAGAGAGGAGGAGGAGGAGAGGAGGAGGAGGAGAGAGGAGGAGGAGAGGAGGAGGAGGAGGAGGAGAGGGGAGGAGGAGGAGAGGAGAGAGGAGAGAGGAGGAGAGAGGAGGGGGAGAGGAGGAGGAGGAGGAGAGGAGAGGAGGAGGAGGGGAGGAGGAGGAGGAGGAGGAGAGGAGAGAGAGGAGAGGAGAGGAGGAGGAGGAGAGGAGGAGGAGGAGAGGGAGAGGAGGAGGAGAGGAGGAGGAGAGGAGGAGGGGAGGAGGAGGAGGAGGGAGGAGAGGAGGAGGAGGAGGAGGAGGAGGGGGAGGAGGAGGAGGAGGAGGAGCAGGAGGAGGAAGAGGAAGATGAGCAGGAGGTAGAGGAAGAGGAGGAGGAAAAGGAGGAGGAGCAGGAGGAGGAGGGGGAGCAGGAGGAGGAGGGGGAGCAGGAGGAGGAGGAGGAGCAGGAGAGGAGGAGGAGGTGGAGGAGGAGGAGGAGGAGCAGGAGAGGAGGAGGAGGAGGAGCAGGAGGAGGTGGAGGAGGTGGAGGAGGAGGAGGAGGAGCAGGAGAGGAGGAGGAGCAGGAGGAGGTGGAGGAGGAGGAGCAGGAGGAGGAGGTGGAGGAGGAGCAGAGAGGAGGAGGAGGAGGAGGAGGAGGAGGAGGAAAAGGAGGAGGTGGAGGAGGAGCAGGAGAGGAGGAGGAGCAGGAGAGGAGGAGGAGCAGGAGAGGAGGAGGAGCAGGAGAGGAGGAGGAGGAGGAGGAGGAGGAGCAGGAGGAGGAGGAGGAGCCGGAGGAGTCGGTGGAGGAGCAGGAGGAGGAGGAGGAGGCCACATTGGCGGTGGCAGAGGGGTCAAAGTCCAGAGCAGAGAGAGTGGAAAGGGAGAAGAGGGAATGGGTGGTGGGGCGGACACTTGAGACAGAAGGTGCTCAGCCCTTCCCAAGATATGGCAAGGCCCTGGGGCCCTCCACACGGGTGACCAGCTCTCGGAAACCATCAAGTGCCCCACAACACAGGGTGGGGAGGGAGCGAGGACTTCCCAGGAGACGCTGTGGGGCTCAAAGTCCAGGGCTCAGGGCAGCAACACCAAGACGGCACAGAGTGCTTAATGCCCTGGCACCTGGCCCGGCCACAGCGCCTCCCACCCACCAGGGCTGCCCCCAGGAGGCCGCGTCCCCGGGGAGCCCAGAGACTGGAGAGGCCCTGGAAGGTCCTGCAGGTGGTTTATTGGAGCCTGGGAGGAAACCTGGGACCCTGCCCCAGGCCTCTGGGGAGGCACGTCCGGCCCAGCAGCGGGCGGAGGGGAAGGAAATGAGGCAGTGGTGGGAACAGGTGGCGCATGAGACTGTGGGGACTTGGAAGTCTCTCCCTGGCCAGGGCGCCCTGCGGAGTAGGAATCAGGGGGCAGGACCCAGGTGGCCAGGACGCCATGAGGCCAGGTCCTACGGGAGCCCTCCTGGGGGACAGGGGAGCCCTCTTCTCTGAGGACACGGGGACACAGCACTCTGGATCCGGGTGGCGGGCAGGGCATGGCGGGGCTGCGGGCGCAGGCTCCTCACAGGACCGTCCTCTTGGCCGCCTCCGCGTCCAGCGCCGTCTCCTCCAGCTCCAGCCCCAGGTTGTGCTCCCCGCCCTCCTGGTCCTTCTTCCTCTCCTTCTTCCTCCCGCCTCCCTCCCTGTGGGGGGAAAGGCCCAGGACAGTGAGGACCAGCTGCCCGCCCAGGCTCACTCTGTCCCCCGAGGGCTTTGGGGTGATAAGCAGCGAACCCCACGGTGCCCGGCCAGGCAGCCCTGCGAGTGCCACTCCCCAAAGCCAGAAGCCACGACTTGCCCGCCCTGTGGATGAGTGGGCAGGGGTGGTGGACGGGGGACAGGTGGCGGCTGGCGGGGCGGATGGGGTGACGGGCAGGGGCGGCAGGGGGTGAGGGTGGGCGAGGAGGAAGGAGAGGGGTGACGGGTGCATGCAGCGTAGGCGGGAGCTGGATCAACAGGCTAGTGGGCGGGTGGACAGCCAGGAGGGCTGTGCGGGCAGAGCAGCGGGTGGGAGGGGCGGCGGGGGAAGGCGGGAGAGTGAGGGACACATCTGGGCCAGCGGGAGGCGGACTGCTGGACAGCTGAGGGCCAAGACGGCAGGGCAGGCCGACGCCCGAGTGGCCGGGTGGCTGGGTGGAGGACGGTGGGTGAACAACGTGAGCAGGTGGGTGGACAGTTCATAGATGGTGCAGTGGGTGGGCACAGAGGTGGTGCGGTGGGTGCGGAGTGGACAGGACAGGGAGGCCAGTCGGCAGGCAGGGGAGACTGGCCCTGCCAGCACATCTTGGGGGCAGGAGTCCCCTGTCCTCCCTCGGGCACGTCCTGGGCCGCTGACTCTCAGGCTGGTCTCCTCCCTCCCCACCCCCTGTGCTGCCCAGGCCTGGTCCAGCTGGGATCTCGCCCTGCAGAGCCCCGGGCCGGCTGCACCCCGAGCCCCCGCAGGACTCGCAGGCCTGGAAGTGGGCGGCAGAGGTCCAGGACGGCCACCCACGTAGCCTCGCCCCGTGGTCCTGCTCAACAGGAGACAGCGGAACTAAGCTCTGGAAGCCATCACCTGGGTGACACCAGGGGACGGCTAGGAGGGTGCCAGCCGCGGTTAAGTGTGGAGAAGAGAGAAGCGGAGTGGAGGGAGGCCGGGAGGCCGGGAGGACGGCCGGGGGGACCTTTGGAGCAAAGCCCTGGGCAGAGGCCGAGGGAGGAAAGTGGGGACAGCGAGACCCCACGCTGCACATGCCCTCGGGCACACCTGGGGTTCACGTCCTGGTACACATTGGGCTCCATCCTCACGGTGTCCGCCTGGTCCTCGGCTCTGCAGAGGGGAGGCAGGGAGGGGAGGCTGGGGCCGTGGGGGCAGCCTCAGCCCAGCCCCCCGGGGCGCAGGGAGGGCGGGCTGCCCGGGTCCTGGGGCAAGCCCCAGTCCCAGGAGGGGGAAATGAGGGGACCTGGGGACAAGAGCTGCCCTGGGGAGGGAACCAGAGAGGGCCAGGAAGCTGGGGGTGGGGAGCCCTTGGGGGACCCTGGGCTAGAGATGGGAAGGGGCAGGGCTCTGGGCTGGGCTGGGGCCCACCTGGCCTTGGAGCACCAGATGCGGTTGGCCAGCATGAGCACGAAGACGATGAACAGGAAGCCCACCACCGCCGCCAGGCCCACCAGCCAGGGCTTCAGCCGCCGCTCAGGGTCTGCCAGGGAGCAGGTGCTCAGGGGGAGGGCGGGGTGCTCAGGGGCCCTCGGAGAGGGGACAGACCTCCGAGACTGGGGCTTGGAGAGGGGCAGGGCTGGGAGGGTGGGCTCTCTGAGGAGGAGGGACACAAAAGAGGCTGAGACGGGGGTCCTGGGTGGGCTTATCAGGCAGGAGGGGGTTCAGAGGAGGGAGGGGATCCAGGGGGGAGGGGGCTCAGAAGGGGGAGGGGGTTCCGAGGAGGAGGGTTTCAGAGGGAGGAGGGGGTTCAGAGGGGACCGAGTGGTGTTGGGAGAGGGGGAGGCTCGGGGTGGGGGATAGAGGGGGCCCTGTGGGGCTTGAAGGCGGCTGAGAGGGTGGGGGCGGGGCGGCTGCGGGGCTGGGTGCCCTCCCAGGGCCGCCATTTCGCATCCTGGAGAACCAGACCACGACCCGCCGTCCCCAGGACCCTGCCGGGAGCCTACCCTGGGCCTGGGCAGGCGAGAAGAGCCAGGCTCCCAGTACGACCAGCGTCCCCAGGGTCTTCATGGCTGAGCGCGAGCCAGAACTCAGGACTGAGAGCTGTGGAGCAGGGGTCCCCTGCGGGTGACCGCGGCAGGCCGGCCTGGCAGGGGCCCTCCTTCCCTCCCTCGGCACCTGACTGGCTCCTGCCCCCAGCACCCCCAGCAGACTCTGGACCCGGTGTGACATTAACTGGGGAGCTGGCCCCTCCCCGGCACCCCGCCCTGAGGGCCATCCGCCCAGGGCCACCCCCTCTGCAGCTGTCCCCGCACCCTGTTGTGGGGGGTGCTGGGGCCAGGGTGGGGCTCTCAGATGCACCTGGGGTCTGAGCCACCCTGGGTGCTGGCAGGCGCCTGTCGGCTCCTGGCTGGTGGCTGGCACGTCCCCCCTCTCCTTCTCTTGGTGACCCACAACATTCTGCAGCCCTCAGTACAGAGCCAGGGGAGCCCCACGTAGCCACAGCCAGAGGACGCGGCAGCCGGTCAGCCCTCAGGGCCACCTGCCCACCACGCACCGCCAGGGTGGGCTGCTCTACTGGCTGAGGATTGGGACACCAGGGACCGCAGATGACTCAGGCTCCAGGCTCTCTGTCCTCGGCCTTGGTCCTTAGGTCATTAGGGGAGTCAGCCCTGCCCAGGCCAAGGAGGACCCTGCCCCAGTAGCCACGGGAGCAGCCATGGCCCTGGCACGTGAAAGCCTGCCCAAAGCCTGTGACACACACGTATGAGCACCTACTGTCTACACAGGAGTCCTGTGTCCCAGAGGTCTGACCACAACTTATGGGCCGACGGGTCACTAAACAGAGCTGTCCTGGAGCTCAGCCACACAGCCCAGGACAAGCATGGGCCACTCCGTGCTGCCAGGTGGGCATACATTCAGCCCCTGCTGTGTGCCCCACCCTGTGCAAGGTTCTGAAGCGAAGGAAGCCTCAGTCTGGCGACCAGGAGCCCCCGACAACCAGGCCCGGGGCCGAGAGGGGACAGGGAGCTGTGGGTGGGGGGGGACACGGTGTGGGGGGGTCAGGGCCACCTCGCTGCTGCTCCACAAAAGGCCCTCTGCTCTGGCTGGCCAGGTCTCACTGGCCCGGTGTACAGGTCTGTCACTCGGGCAGAGTCCTGCTGGGTGACGGAGCCCGCGGGGCAGGGCAGGGCTGACTCAGCAGTCACGGGCGCGGGCAGAGGGCTGACCGCTGGTTTAATGTCCGGGTGCCTCGTTGCTCCCCATTCACAGACTGCGCAGGGCTGGCTGGAGGCTGGGCAGGGCCAGGCTCTGGGGAAGCAGGGCAGATGGCAATGGCCAGTGTCCAGCCACCAAGCTCTCCAGCTGAGAGGGAGCTTCTCCCCAGGGATGGGGGTCGGCGGAGAGGCTCTGGGGGCCACGGGTTCCAACCCCGCAGCATCCGAGGGGCTGGAACTGGGGCCAGGACCCCCCTCACTCCAGCCTCCAGGAGCTTTGGACCTGGGGGTCCCTGAAGATGATGGAGGGATGATGGGGGTCCCGGGCGGGGGATTCCAAGGGGACGCCCTGTCCTCCGCCCTCGAGGGTCTCCTCGTCCTGCCAGGCCAGGTCCAGTTCCTCCAGGTCCTCCCCGGCCACCCTGGTGGCCCGCTCCCGGCGAGGCGTCTCCTCTTGGTCTGACTTCGGGCCGAATGCCCAGTCTGTGTCAGGGACGCCGGTGAGGACCTCCGGGCCCGAAACCCTCCACCCGTCCTGGCCCAGAGAGGGCCCGAGCTGGCCGGCTCTCACGGGGCCTGCACAGAGGCCTGGGACCCGGCCAGCTCTGCCCCTCCCTGGCCAGCCCTGCAGTGGGTAGCTCACCGGCCAAGTCGTGGGCCAGGTCTTTGATGAGGTGCCCGACAATGGCGTAGGCCACCGCCACCACCAGGAACGCGGCTATCAGCAGGTATAGCCCGTACCTAGGCAGGCGGATGGTGTCCAGCGGGGGCGGCCGGTACTCCTCATACACCGGGGGGGCAGCGCTCCAGTCCTTGGTCTCCTCCCTGTCCGCCAACCCCGGCATGGCGGCCACCTGGAGCAGGGAAGCCCGGAGGTGACCCGTGCAGCGGAAGTATTAAGGGGCTTTGAACTAAGAGGATTGCGAGGCTCCCCAGGCCTCCATCTGTCTGCAGCGATCACACACAAGCTGCTTGTGCCTCAGCAGTTCCTGCACCCTCCCTGCCCCAGGGCCCTGGCACTCGCCGGCCTTCTCCTGAGAACACCCACCCGGGTTTCTCATAGCTGGCCTGTGATTCATTCGTTCACATTGATTGAGCACCTACTGTGGGCACCCTCGTGTTCGGCAGTCTGGGTTGGAACCCAGGGCCCCATCTCTGCGGGCAAGTGCTAACCACAGCCACACACACAGTCCTTTCAGATTTTATTTGTGACAGGGTCTCACTAAATTGACAGGTGGCCTGAAACTGGCCCTCCGGTGCTTCAGCCTAAGCAGCTGGATGGCAGGCGTGGCCCCCGGACCCAGTGGCCAGCCACGTCCTCAGGTCCCAGGATGCTGCTGTGCCTCCTGGAGGCCCTCTCTGCTGTCGGGAGATGGAGCACCGACACGAGGGTGGGGGGTGGAGAGGGGCGTGGGGCAGGGAAGGAGCTCCAGCGCACACGGTCATCCAGCGGCTCCCACGGCTCCCGAGGCCGAGGCAGGGGGATCACAAGTCCAAAGCCAGCCTCAGCAACAGCGAGGCGCTGAGCAACTCAGTGGGACCCTGTCTCTGAATAAAATTCAAGATAGAGCTGGGGTGGGCTCGGTGCCCCTGAGCTCGATCCCTGGTACTCATCCCCCCCCAGAAAAAAACCAGATTTCAAAAGGGCCGGAGCCAGTTCAGTGGTAGAGTGTCTGGGCTCAACCTCCAGGCAGGAGGCAGGGTGGCCCGGCCTCACCAAGGAGTGGTCCCTGGAGCAGAAACCTCAGGAGGAAGGGAGTCCGCTGGGAGCACCAGGCACCAGAGCCCAGCTGGTGGCACATCCAGGACCTGTGTGGCCAGAGCAGAGGGAGGAGGGGAGGCAGGGCAGGTCCTGTGGGCTACGGGCCTTGACGGGGGGGGGGGGGGGGGGGGGGGGGGGGGGGAAGCTGTGGGCTGTGGGAGAGGAGCAAGGGGCCAGGCTCAGTGCTCACAGGCCCCCTCTGGTGGCTGTCGTGGGGAGGACAAGTGGGAGCCCAGACCAGGGCACAGGTGGCCAGGCCGGTCTGGATGGGGGACACCACAATTGACTCAACCCTGATGCTCCCAGGCTGAGCACGGGAATGACAGTCCCCACTCCTAAGGGGGACGCGGGAGGAACGTGGGCCGTGGGTGGCACAGGCCAGGACAAGGCATGAGAGCAGGCCGAGGAGCCTGGGTTCAGAGGCCAGCCGTCTAGGGCCTCGCCCCAGCTGTTGACTCTGCAGCTCCTCTGTGAAATGGGTTGGTCACATGCCCCGGGGGGCCAGCCCGGGGACTCAGAAGAGCCTCTCAAAGGGGAATCTTTAAAAAGCTGAGGTGTGGCTCAACGGTGGAGCTCTGCCTGGCACACGTGAGGCCTGGGCTCACCCTGTGCCCCCAACACACGCCGCACCCAGCTCCCTGGCCTAGGACTCAGGGGCCTGCGCTGTAGACTAGGCTCCTGGTGCCCACGTCAGGGCCTCTGGGGGGTCCGGGCTGGAGGCAGGGCTAGGGCCACCCAAAATGCCGAGGGACGGGGAGGGGCCCCAGGGGGAGGCTGCATGCAGAGACGGCCAGGGCAGTGGCGAGGCTCCCCAGGTCCGTGCTGTGGAGCAGAGGCCGGGCCTGCCTGGCTGCGTGGCGGGGGGCTGAGCAGTGAGCAGGCAAGAGGGAGGACCCCAGCCCATCCTCCATGCTGCCCAGCAACCAGGCCGCTGTGTCGCCTTCCCTGACCTCCTGCTTCTGGGGGAAGCCGCTGCCTTGGGAGCAGGGTCAAGGGGAGGCCCCCAGGGAGGGCCTGGGCCCCTGCTTGTGGCCCAGCCTGACCACAGCCTCCTCAGACCTGGGCTGAGGCGGCTGCCCGCGGTCTTGGGCGCGCTCCTGCTCTGGTGCTGTTTCAGGCTGCCTGAGAGTTGAGGGCACTAGTGACCCTCCTGTTGGGCCCGAGCAGCCTGGACAAGGGCCTGGCACCTGCCTGGGCAGGTGCTCCTCTAAGCCACACCCCACAGCTTTTTGAGATAGGGTCTTGCTGAGTTGTCAGGCCTCAAACTTGCCATCCTCCTGCCTCAGCCTCCAGTGTAACTGGGATGGCGGGTGCAGCCATGGCACCTGGCCCTTTTCTGTCTCCAGGAAGGGTGGGTCACGGGATTCGGCCCGCCCCAGATCTAGGAGGATCAAACCTGAGTCCGGAAAACACCCACAAGACCCTTCCTCCAGACGAGGTCACACTCCCCGGTGTGGGGTCAGACTTGGAGTCACCTTCTGGGGATACAACCCAACCCAAGCTGCAGGTCTGGAGGCGCCGCGGTGTCCTGGGGAGCACCAAGGCCGCAGGCAGGGCAGGGAGCAGGTGGGCGGGTGGCCAAGGGAGCCCACAGGTCAGCCTCTGAGGAGGACCAGGCCCTGAGCGGGCAGAGGCTGGCAGGAGCATGGGGGCTCAGGGCAGAAGCCACAGGGAACGGCCCCAGGAAGTGAGTCCCGTGTGTTTTGCCAACAGCCTTTTGGACTTGGGGGCACAGAGGGGCAGCTGTGGGCCCAGTCCCACCTTCAGACCTGTTTCTTGGGTGATCAGGCCACCCGGGGCAGTGGCCAAGCAGAGGACGTGGAGAGCCAGGTGGGACCCAGAGGGTCCGGTGGCCCTGATGGGAGCAGGTGGCGGGTGGAGGCTAGGCCGCAGGGCTGCTTCTCTAGAGCCCTGGGAGGGAGCCTCGCTGGTGGACAGTCCCCAAGAGCTGGACAGGCGCAGGTGGCAGTGCTGGGGCAGCCGTGCTCCCGGGAAGCCCGCCCACACACTCAGGGAGCCACTGCTGCGCCAAAATGATTTACTCTTCCACGTGGCGGCACCTAGGAGCCCGCGCCCCACCTAGGACCACCTCCCACGCCACACGGCTGAGGTCAGGGCCCTGGACCCCACTGCCACTGCTAGTGCAGCCTGAGCCACCCAGGTCCCTCCCAAGACACCCTGTCCCAGACCCCTCCCCGCACTCCGGCCAGGAGCCCACAGCTCCCACTGAGGGAGTCGGGGGCGGCTGCGCAGGGACAGGGCCAAGGGGAGACGTCAGACACCGCAGTCCTGTTGGGACAAGGGGCCGTGGCAGGTCAGCAGGGGGCAGAGCTGGGCAGGGCTGGGCGGCTAGGGCGGTGGGCGCGGCTGCTCCGGGCGGTCCTGCTGGAAGGGCCCGCTCTCCTGCTCGTACATGTCCAGGGCAACCAGGCAGCTCTCCCGCACCACGCGCTCGGGGTCGGCCGCGTGGGCATGCAGCGCGGCCAGGCAGGAGGGCCGGGCGATGGCGCCCAGGGCCTCCGCACACTCGTGGCGCACCATGGGGCTCTCGGCGGGGCGGGCCAGGGTGGCGGCCAGCTGGGGCACGGCCGCCTCGTGCTGCAGCTGGCCCAGCACGTAGCCCACCTCGTGGCGGAAGAGGGCGCTGCCACAGCGCAGGCCTGCAGGCGGGAAGGGCGGTCACTTGGTCACTCACGGGGTACACCATGGGCTTGGTGCTGGGGCACCCAGAGGGCAGGGCAGGGCTAAAGGGGCTCTGTCTCACCCACCCATGACGGGGCAGCTCGGGCGCCTGACCAGCCTGTGGGGAGCCGGCTGGACCAGGGGCCCCTGGCACGGCTCCACCCAGCCCCTAACTCTGCTCTGGACAGGGTCCGGCTGAGCTGCCCAGCTGGCCAGGACCGTGACCCTCCTGCCTCAGCACCCCGAGGAGCCAGGATGACAGGTGTGGCCACTGGAGAGGGCTGGGTGTCCGCCGGCACCTCTGCTCCCGGGGTGTGCCGTTCCCAGCTGCCCGGCCCGGGGCCTCCTCACCCTCGGCCAGCGCCAGGGCCGCCTCCTGGCCCCCGGCGTTGCGCAAGGCGAACATGGCGCGGTACCGGTCGAACAGCGGCAGGGTCTCGTCCAGCAGCGCCTCCCGCAGCTGCCCCATGTCGCGCTCCTCAGCTGGGGGGGCCGGGTCCACGGAGAGGTAAGGCCCGGCCACTGTGGGCTGCCCAGGGTGCTGCTGCAGCCACTCCAGGCGGCGCACGGCCAGCTGGCACGTCTCAGCCACCTGCAGGGCGAGGGGTGCACAAACAGCATCAGTCCTGGGCCTGATGTTGGGGACATGCAGAGGCCGTGACATCCCCGGCCCACCCTCCTGGGCTTGCAGCAGGGACCTCTGGGTTAGGACAGCAAGGGGAAGGGACAAGGGATGGGGAAGCTGAGAGGAGAGGCCCCGGCGGCCCTGCTGGGAGGAGGACGGGAGCCAGGGCAGGCCACGCGCGGCCAGGAGCCGGAGTGAGGGCTCCAGGTCCTGCCCTGGAGGGAGCGAGGCGTGGGCGCTGAGCACAGAACACAGCAGCTGGCTGTGGTTTCACATGTGCCCTCCTCTGGCTGCCGCGAGAAGAGTGGGGCGTGTGAAGCAAGTCACGACGCCAAGGTCCAAGTGAACTCAGACTCGCACACAGGCCCGCGGCAGGGTGGTTCTCGATGGCCAAAAAGAGGAGGCCGCCCTTGTGTTCAAGGAGGCACGAACTGATTCAAGTAACAGGCCTGGCTGGGCGCGGCGGCCACGCCAGCAACCCCAGCAGCTCAGGAGGCTGAGGCAGGAGGATCGCCAAGTTCAAGGCCAGCCTCAGCTACCTGGCAAGGCCCTGAGCAACTAAGGCAGCCCGACTCAAAATGAAGAAATAATAAAAACGGCTGGGGATGTGACGCAGGGGTAGAGCACCCCTGGGCTCAACCCCCAGGACCAAAAAAGAAAAAAGACGTCCCCAAACAAACAACAGGTCTGTGGCCACGTTGAGCGTCACTCCACCAGGGCAGGAGCGAGGGGACACAGCTGCAGGGTGGCCGGACCCAGGACCTCGTGCTCAGTGAGCAGACACAGGAGGCCAAGGTGTGTGAGCCAGGACAGGACAGACCCACGGAGCATGGAAAATGTCGCTAATGGGAGTGGGCCTCCTTGAGAGGAAGGGAATGTTCTGGAAGGAGCAGGGCAGCTGCCCGACTCTGAATGCACTTCTAGGGGTGAGCTAAATGGCACGTGAGTCACCTCAATGAAACTGTCTCAAAAATAGAAGAGACGTGGGGAAGGCAGGGAGACCCTGAGGTCCAGCGGGCCGGGCAGGGCGGCAGAGAGGGCAGGGTCTCAGAGCAGCCGGGAGCTGGGCAGGAGCCACAGGGGCTGCGGGCCAGGGCGGGGCCGAGAGCAGGCTCTGCTGGGCTCAGGCCTGGACGCTGCTCTCCCCACCCGGGCATGCAGCACCCTTGGACAGCGGTCACCCTGGCAACCAGAAAGGGGTGGGTTCTGAGGCTGCTCAGGCCAGGGCTGGGGGAGCGCTGGGCCAGCTTCTTGGGCCCGAGCGGACAGGGCTGGGGCCGGCTCTTACCTCGACCACGGGGTCGCTGCAGTACTGCCTCAGGAGCTCCAGGGCCTGCGGGTTCCCAATGGCGCCCAGGGCCTCCCCTGAGAAGCAGGCAGGGGTGGTGTTGGCGGGCGAGGGCCACACGGCTACGGCCACTTGGGCCTCACTCAGTCGCCGAGGCTGCTCTGAAGTCGCCTTGGCTCGGCTGCGGGCAGCACAGCCTGCGCCCCACACCCAGCTCTGAATGTCGTTTTAAAGGGAAAACACCCAAAGGAATAAGATTCCCTGACCAGACAGCTGGGGGGGCCCCCGCAGGGAAGTGCCCTGCCCCTCACCTGCCTCGTGGCGCACCATGGGCTCCTGGCGGGTGTCGCGCAGCACGCCCGTGAGCACGGGGATGGCGCGGGAGTCCTGCATCTGGCCCAGGCAGTAGGCCAGCTCGTGCTTGAGCAGGGCGGAGTCGTCATCGAAGGCCCGGCTGATCCAGGCGATGGCCCCGGGGCCACCAAGCCCCCGCAAGGTGAAAAGCGCCCGGAAGCGGGCCTGCAGAGGCTGCTTGGGGTCCACCAGCACCTGCCCGATGGCCTCGACCTCTTGCTCCGTCACCATGATGCCTCCAGCAAGGGCCTGGTCCTCTGCGCCCCGTGGACTGAGCCTGGAAGCCCACAGAGCAGAACCTGCAGCAGGAAGGGAGCAGGGTCAGCGGCGTCCCGCCCACTCGCCTCAGGATGGCGGGGGCTCTTCTGGGGGGTACTAGAGTCCATCCAACCCAGGCAGCACTCTGCCACTGAACCACACCCTCAGTCCTCCCCCCCCAAACTCTGAGTCACATCCCAGCCCCATTCTGTATCTTATTCAGAGACCGGGTCTCACTGAGGTGCCTAGGGCCTCGCCACGATGCTGAGGCTGGCTTTGAACTGAGATCCTCCCGCCTCAGCCTCCCGAGCTGCGGGGATGACAGGCGGGCCTGAGTCAGTGCCTCAGTTGCCCAGGCTGGACTCAAACTTGCAATCCTCCTGTTTTAGCCTGCTGGGGGCTAGGATGGCAGCCATAGCCACCTCACCTGGCTGGGGAACTTCTCAGTTGCTGACCAGCCAAGGTTCTTGGTGGAGAGCTCAGTTCTGACCTCCTACTTGCTGTGCAGCCTTCCAGAAGTTAGTTTCCCTCTCTAGGCCACCGTCTCTGTACCACCTTATATCCGTTAGGACCCCCACAGGTCTGGGCTCCACTCAGCAGCCCCAGGACTTGTGGTGGCTCTCATGGTCCCCAGCTCCTGGTGGTCACGCTGTGGCACTGACAGCCCTGCTCACTCTGAACGGGGCAACCTGTGTGAGCACAGCACCCAGGAGACGGACGGGCCGGAGCACCACGGGCACAGCAGTTTCCAGGGCAGCCGCGGCCACACTGTGAGGAAGTGCTGCTATCAGGCCTGCGGCTGGGAAATGAGCTTCCACCAGCAGCCACGCATGGAAGGGGCCTCGGACGGGAGCGGCTAGGGAGCCCCCGCCTATCCCAGTGCAGCCCCTCAGAGACGGGGCCGCACCGCAGGCCGAGCAGGTGTGGGAGGGCACCCCAGGCACCTGGCTATGGAGCCAGGACTCCCGCAGCGCTCTCCCAGCCCCACAGCTCTCCCTCACCTCCCTGCATCTCGAATGAAGCCTTCCTTCATCAGTCTGCACGGGTGTCCTCTGCCTCTTCCCTGCTCCAACTTTCTTCAAACATTGCCTTGGATGTTGGTTAGTTGCTGGCGGTCAGCTTATCCCTCACTAGAACTCTGAAGTCAGAGACTGGGACTTTCTTGGTCAGCAGGGTACTCCCAGCACTTAGCACCAGGGTGTGTACACAGTAGGTCCTCAATAAAAGCAAGAATAGGCCAGATACAGAGGCTCATGCCTGTAATCCTGGCAGATTGGGAGGCTGAGACGGAGGATTGCGAGTTCAAAGCCAGCTCAGCACCTCAGTGAGACGCTGTATCTAACTAAAACACAAAACTGAGCTGAGGCAGCGGCTCAGTGGCTGAGGGCCCGAGTTCAATCTCCGATACCAAAAAAACAAAACAAAACACAAGAATAGTGTCTGGCATTTGTGCAGCACTTGCCAAACGCCAGGCTCTCTGATAAGCCCTTATGTTCATTAGCTTATTTAACCCTCCCAGGGCCCCACGGGATGGGCAGAGACTTGTTCCCATCGACAGGCCAGGAAACAGCCTGTCTTGCCTGGGGACAGCGTGGATGCCGGGGTTTTGCTGTGGTGGTGGTGGTGGCTCAGCACTGCAATGACCCCCGGTGCTTACCACGGAGCCACATCACCAAGCCCTCTTTATTTTGTTCTAAGACAGGGTCTTGCTCAGTTGCCCAGGCTGGCCTGGGACTTGCCATCCTCCTGCCTCAGCCTCCCAAGCAACTGGGTAGACAGGAGTGGGCACTGCGCCCAACTTCAGCAGGGACAGTTGTGGGAGGCCGCCGCACCATGTGACCAGCATATTCCTTTCCTGATTGGTGAGATTCTGTCGGTCACTTCCAAGTGATCTGGCCACATCAAAGTGGCCCTCGATGACGCCCCGATCTTGGAAGTCGCAGAATGTGTGAATGAATGTGTCTTCGTGCCTGGGCATGCCTTCCCGCAGCCCCATAGGTGGAGCTACGCTCACCTGTTCCTTTGTGATGTTACCCCTTTGCCCTGTTTGGAAATGCCCTTTGTGTGTTCCCTTCTCTTGCTCTGCCCTTGGGTGTGGCCTTCCTAGCTGTCAGTCAACCAGTTCTCTTTCCACGGACCCTTAAGGTCAGAGGAGCCTCATAGGACCCCAAAGAAAAAGGTCTCTCTGTCTCTCGTGTGGTTATTTTGCACAGCCCAGTCCCCAGGTGTGACCCTGAGTGTTTTGTCTCGAGGAACGCAGCAGACAGTTTTAAAGTCAGTATGGCTCCAGAGGGCTCTGAATCATACAGACTTTGCTGCATGAGTGAATTAAGATGAAATGACACTGCCTCTGGTTGTGATGGCCACACCTGTAACCCCAGTTATCCAGGAGACTGAGGCAGGAGGATCACAAGTTCAAGGCCCACCTGGACAACTTAGCAAGACCCTGTCTCAAGATAAACAGTTAATGGACCAGGTGATGTAGCTCAGTGGTAGAGCAACCTGGGGTCCATCCTCAATGCTGCAAAACAAGAGGTAAACAAGGATAATATGACAAGTTGGGAGGTTGGGAGGACAGACTCCTGTGCCCTCCAGGAACCTGGCAGACACTTCCCAGACACAGCAAGCAGGTAGTGGCACGCCGTAGCCCTCTGTGGTTTCCAGTGGCGTCAGCAGAGGTGCCTATAGAGGGCATAATGTGGGAGGCACAGCTGCCTAGGACAGGTGCCATCAAAGGATGATTACACCTTGAGGAAGGAGCATCAGAGACTCCAGAAAGCAGGAGCTTGTGCTAGCAAGACACTAGAGGCACTGTGACCCAACTCCTCCCTCCATATACACAGATAAGCAGCACTTGTCCCCAAAACAGAAACTCAGGCCTTCTGAACTGCAGTCGGCAGTCTAAGTTTAGGCTCCTGCTACTAAGAGAAGTGAGGGGAGGAGAGAGGGGGTTGTGGAGCTCCAGGCACACATCCCGAGCGAGCTTAGTCTCTCCATCTGGAACAGCTCAGCAAGTCTTGGGTTTCCTTCAAACCTGACCCCTTGAAACCTTACCTTCTGGAGGAGGCCTTTCTCTGACCACCCTGTTTAAGGAGGCAAACGCGCCACTACTGAGCCCTCCATAGGCTACAAGGAGTTAATGAATCCTTCCCAGGGAGCCCAAGATCCACCTGGGCTCAGGACGAGGGAGAGCCCTGAAACTCATACTTTAGGCCTATTTTTCCTGGATGTGGGGGTCAGGGATCGGTCCCCAACGCAGGCAGAATCCAGGAGTCCACTCACCCCGGTGGAGGTCTCAGAGACAGACAAGATAAACTAATAAAGGGATGCAGGGACCACAACTCCAACGAAGAGCTCGGGACCGGATGTCCCATCCCCGAAAGGGTCGCCGTGTCCGGGGACCCCTCAAAAAGGGACGACCGGCTCCGCAGACCCCTTAGGAGACCCCAAGACGTCGTTTCAAGAGCCACATAATAGATGCCCCAGTACCGACGCTGCCCAGGGCCCCCCGGAGATATGGGACCCCCAAAACCAAGTGGAAGAGGTCGCGGGACTCGGGACCCCTCCAGCCACCCTGCCCACGACTGCCGGAGGGCACTCAGGGCGCCTCCCGGGCCCGCCCGCCAGACCCGGGATCGCACCGTGCTCCGCCGCTGTCACGCCGGCCGGGCTCCGAGTCGCCGCACCCGAGCGCACCTCCCGCGGAGGCTTCAACAGCCGCGACGCTCACAGCGCGCCCTGGAGGCCGCCATGTTCCCGGCCACGTGACAAGCCGGACGGCGCCAACGCCGCCGCGGGGGGACCAGCCAACAGCGACCGCCGCGGAAGCAGGACCCAAAGCTCCAGCCAGCACCAGTGACAAAATGGAAACCCACGCCGCAGGAACAGCCGAGGGACATGCCCCAAGGAAAGGGAAGGGCAACTTCCGCCCTCCCTCTGTAGTAGTCACTCCGGCCTCCCCTACGATGCCAGTGGAAATGGTTCGCGCCCGTTCAGCGCGGAGCTTTGCCGGCTGGCGACGGAGCGTGCGCGGCGCCTCTGGGGCGTGGCCAGCCTCGGGGGCGCGGCCAGCCTCGGGGGCGTGACCAATGGTGGGAGGCTGGAACCCCCGGAGGGCGGGAGGGACGGGGAAGAGGAAGTGACCCGGTGGTTCATTCATTCCTTGGTTTAGTAACTCGTGCTCGCCGAGGACCAGCCTGCCGCCTTCGCCTTCCGAAACCGCGCAGTGCTGTGGTCCGAGTGTGCACGACCAGGTGGCGACACCCGCCAAGGAGAAAGCTGCGCCGCCTGCGGGGCGCGGCTGGGGAAGCGCGGCCAGGGCCCAGTGCGGGCATCCCAGCGCTGACCCGCCAGGCAGAGTCCGAGGAAAGACCAGGCTGCACGGTGAGGCGGGAGCCCGGGCGTCCCGGCAGGCGCCCGACTTGGGTGTGACGGGCTCTTCACGGCTGCGGGAGGCCGACGAGAAAGCCGGAGGCCGCAGCCCTCGCATTCGGGAAGAGGAGCCAGGGATCTGATTGGAAGTTGAGAGAGAATCCTGCAAGGCTGGGGGCAGCTCCGTGGGGGAGCGCTTGCCCGGCTTGTGCAGGGTCCTGGGTTCAGGTTCACCCCCAGCACGGCAGGGGTCGGGGATCCTGTCAAGGATGAGGACAGCTTTGACAGGAGTAACTGGAAGGATCCAGCAGCCATTAACCGATCTCCACCCTCCCTCCCAAACTATCGGAATCCACTCACGTCACTCATTTTTTCACTTTTTTATTTTTATTTTTGCAGTTCTGGAGATGGAACCCAGGGCCTCACACTGGGTAGGCAAGTGCTCTACCACTATGCCACGCCCTGTGGCCCAGACTGGCTTTGAACTTGCAAATCTCTGGCTCTGCCTCCCTAGGACCTGGGATTACAAGCTGTACCACTGCACCGGGCTTTATTTCTATCTATCTATCTATATGTAAAATATTATATTTATATATGATTATATATATTTAGATTTACTTTAGTTGTAGATGGACACGATATCTTTATTTTTATGTAGTGCTGAGGATCGAGCCCAGTGCCTCACATGTGCAAGGCAAGCGCTCTGCCACTGAGCCACAACCCCAGCCCCTCAGCAAATGCTTTTTAAGCAGAAGCCAGAAAGCAAAGATTTCACACACAATCTCTACAGGGCATGCCCGTAGTCTTAGCAACTTGGGAGGCTGAGGTAGTAGGGTGGGAAGTTGGAGGCCAGTCTCGGCAACTTATCAAGGCCCTAAGTAACTTAACAAGACCCTGACTCAAAAAAAAAAAAAAAAAATTAAAAAAACATAAAAGGACTGGGGTGTGTCGTGGTTAATCACCCTAGGTTCAATACCCAGAAACCATAAACTATTAATAACAGTTATAATAATAATAATGTGGGCAGGGAGCCAAGTGTGGTGGCACGCACCTGTAATCCCAGCTACTTGGGGGTGGGGGGAGTGAGGAAAGAGGATGGCAAGTTCAAGGTCAGCCAGGCAACTTAGCAAGACCTGGTCTCAGAAATAAAAGGGGCTGGGCTGGGGGTGTGAATTAAATGTCTATCATATGAAAGGCCCTAGGTTCAATCCCCACTACTGCAATTTAAAATGTATAGGGAGAGAGGGGTGGGATGGGGCCAGGGGCTGGGGAACATCACCCAGTGGTAGAGCGGATGCCTAGCATGTGTAAGGCCCTTGGATCCAGTGTTGCAAGAAATCCACACAATCATATAGGTATCCATGTATTTATACGTATAAACATGCGTGCGCGCGCACACCACACAGGCAATTCATGAAAACTATTCCACGCACAGCAAAGCAGAGAGCAGTCACTTTGACGACGGGCCAACTGCTGTTTTAAGACAACGCTGATTCAAGATGAGCAGAAACGCCTATGTAAAAAGCATAGCCCTGGACGCCAAAGACACGGAAGGAAGCAGATGCCATCACTGGCCTCATTAAACCGACTTCCCAAAGTTGTGCTGCCTCCCACGTCAAAGGAGGCTCTAGATAACCAGCTTTGGGGCAGCCTGCGGGCGGTCCCCAGGACCCTGCCCCCCCAGTCCCACTGTGGCTCAGGCTGAGGTTTACTGAGTTTTCTAGAAGGCCAGAGGCTGTGCCGACAGGGCAGAGTGCCAGGTGTGAGGGCCCCCAGGAGGCTCTGCGGGAGGAGATAGGCCCAGGGGTACAGGAAACAGATACCAGAAGCCACACCCAAAACGAGGCTTGTGTGAGTCTGAGAACTTGGTGTCTGGGCCCTGCAGACACACCTGTGTGTAACTGATACCAAGGAGAAGCCCAGGCACCTGTGTTCCCCCCTCTGCCTTCACCCCAGGGTGGGGGCGAGAGGCTAGGCCTCCTGCCACAAAGGAAGGCTGTTGAACTAGCAGGAAAATCGTCTTATTCAAAGCCAGCTTTGAAGGAAGGTAGAGGAGACATTTTTGCCTCAAATCCCCATCTTCAGAAAACCCCAGGGACGGGGAACTTTAGTCTAAGAGAAGGGTCAGTTAGCCAGGCAGCGTGGCGTCCTGATTCTGGGGAGTCCCCTCTGTATGAGTAGGCCTCCGTTCCCAGTAAGAGGCAGTTTAGAAGTTAAAGCAATCTGGAGCTTCCACTTCAGAAGGGGCTGCTCCGGAGGCTACAGAAAAACCAGTTTTCAGGAAGTTGCCCTTAGTTTCAGAGGGTGTCTGTTCCACCACGGCTACTTCTGCAGGGTCCTGGCAGCCAGAAGTCCCTGATGGAGGTGTCAGCAGGGCCAGCCTCTCTCCTGGCTCTGGGGAGGGTCCTTCCGGTCCTTCCTGGTAACTGGCCATCCGTGGGGTTCCTCAGCTTGTGGCCTGTCCGCACATGGCCAATTTTTTCAGAAAGGTATAGTGCGCCTGGGTGGTTTGGGTGACTTCTCCAGGTTGCACCTTAGCTGACGTGCTGATGCCTCGGTGGGGCAGGGAGCCCTCGCTGACCAGAAGCATCTCTCTTGAGCCTGGTACTGGTCTGAGGAAAGAGCAATCAGGGCTGGTCAGGGGGAAGATGGTCACTAACAAGCTGCTCAGTGCAACATTTTTTCTTTCTTTTGTGTGCTAGGGATGGAACCGAAGTCCTTTTGAAGTAGGACAGAAGAAATTAGAAGAAAAAACCAGGTAGACAGGACCCTGAAGGAGTGACAGGGAGCCAGGCTGTGGGTCAGAAGGGCCGCCTGTCACTCCTGGATTCCTGGGAAATCCGTGACTCTGCCTATGCAGAGCTAATCCACCCTAGAACATAGAAGCAGCAAAGAGAGGACGTTTTAAGAAATCTATAGCTTAGGAGACCTTCCATTCGTATTTATGGATCAGATAACAGACCATGTCAGCCTCAGGATCTCAGAGTGACCAGACCCATGTCACCCACACAGCTTCCCGTGCCCACCCCTCCCTAAGATTGCTTTGAAGAGGAGCCCTCTGGACCTCTCCCTCTGGAGATGGCCGCAACCAACCTGGAGGGCGCATCTGCTTCCTACACAAGCCTCTCTCCATGCCCAGGGCTGGCAAGCGCTGGAATTCTTTTCTGTCACATGAGCCAAGGGCCCCATTGAGCCTGAGTCAGTTCTCTGCTCTCTCCAGGAACTTCACCCTTCTCCTGGGCCACCTCTTCTCCAGTGACACTTGTACTCACTGAGTGCAGGCTGCACGCTAAGTTATGCTCTGGCCCCCGGCCCATGTGCTGGGATCCTGTCTGTGCCTGGCACTGTCCCGGACCTCCCAGAACTGTCTGTGATGGAGGATATAGTCTACATCTTCACCAGCCAGCATGGTGGCCCCTAACTAGTTGGTGCCACTCTGGAACTGAATTTGTAGTTTTCAAAATTTAAGCAATTTAGGGGCTGGGGATATAGCTCAGTTGGGAGAGTACTTGCCTTGCCTGCGCAAAGCCCTGGGTTCAATCCACAGCACCACAAAAAATAACAATAAAAAAAATAAAAATTTAAGCAATTTAAATGTAGAGGAAATAAAGCTGATACTTTGATTCAGTGCTCAGAAAACTTCTATGCCTGTTTGAAATACCTGGCAATGCAAACCTGTTTTTTCCCACTGTAAAATGTAAAAAGAGATCAAGGATTTCTGATGCAAATTAGCATCAAGAGGGGGATGTAATACGCACTGGATCCTAAGACTGGGTTTGACAAAAATGACATAGAATACCCCATTAATAATAGTTGAGTTTGATTACATGTTAAAACAAAAATATTTTTAATAAAACAGTACTTAATTAAAATGAATTCTGCCAGAAATTTTGTTTTACATGTGGCTACTAGGAAATTTAAATTCCCAGATGGATCATGTTCCACATGCTGAGTGACTGCGCCAGATCCTATGGTGGCTGTGGAGCTCATGGGAATCAGACAGATGTGCATTTGTATAATACACACCATTTCACACCACAAGGAAAAAAGTAGAAATCGGGTACC